GGCTGACTACTAATCTGGGCTCCCGGCTGAGCTACGCCACGATCCATCTTCTCCTCCCACAGCCATTCCCAGCCTGGATGATCCCTACTGCACCGCTGCGTGCACGGGCCATACAGCCAGCCCCGCTCTGCACTCGTCAGGCCTTTGGAGGGGCGCGAGCTGCTCCAAACCACGCGGGAAGGAATCCCTGAACGCTGGAGGATGTGCAGCACAGCGCAGCACCTTCCTGGGTGGAGCTGGAAGTGGCTTGTTAAGGAAATGCAGCCACGCAGCCCAAGGAGCGAGGACCCAGGCTGCGACGTCCAGGGCAAGCAGGAATCTTCTCAAGCTGCTCCGTAGTCTGCATCCCCTCTTAACGCAGCCTCACGGGAGCCTAGAGCTGAGTTAGTGTCTTGGGATGAGTCTTGGACACGACCCTGGACGTTGGTTCTTCCTGTAGCTGGCGTGAAATGGAATTGGGGAGTGTGTGAAATTGTCTTGCCGGTTCAGGCGACAGCGTTGGCGTAGCTGGGCTGGTCCTGGGGCACGAGAGGGACAAGGTGGGGGAGGGAACCAGCTTGTGCCGGTGAGAGACACGGCTGTGGGGCTGCCCAGGCATGACAAGGAGCCCCGTGGAGCTCCAAAGCCTCGAATCATCGACTTTAAGGTCAGAAGGGACCATTATGATCGTCTAGTCTGACCTCCTGCACAACGCAGGCCACAGAATCTCACCCACCCACTCCTGTAACAAACCCCGGACCTATGTCTGAGCCACTGCCGTCCTCAAATCATGGCTTAAAGACTTCAAGGTGCAGAGAATCCTCCAGCAAGTGACCCGTGCCCCACGCTGCAGAGGAAGGGGAAAACCCCCCAGGGCCTCTGCCAATCTGCCCTGGAGGAAAATTCCTTCCCGACCCCAAATATGGCGATCAGCTAAACCCTGAGCACGTGAAGTGCGTCAACGAATGATATTCCCGCACCCCATTTGTGTCTCTTTGCAAATGTCATTGCAGTCAGAGCATGAGTGCTTGACTTTCTCCCCCTTCCACCCCCGGCTCAAGGCTGAGTATGGCTGGAAGGGGAGCTGGAAAAGGTGAAGCGATGTGGGTGTCGCCGGACCTGCAGCAGCAGGTGATGTCGGACAGCAGGGGCCTTGCTAATGCAGAGTGAGAGCCCGTGAGTGGGGAGTCTCAGCTGGGAACTGGGGTGCAGGTTTGTAACACGGTGGGTGGGGGACCAATGGAACAGCTCAGAGCCAGGATGGAGCCTTCATCTCTCCGGCTTTTCAGCGAGATTGTTGCCTCGTTCTCAAGCCGAGCGAGCTCCACCACCAGCTAGGGGCTGCCTGCAGGAAGCAGGTTTTGTGAGGCTCCAGCCTGGGTTACACAGGAGGTCATATGGGATGAGCAGAATGGGCCCTTCAAAACTTACATGAACTGGGCGGGTCTTGACTAGAACAGAGGTGGCCAACCTGAGCCTGAGAAGGAGCCAAAATTTACCAATGTACATTGCCAAAGAGCCACAGTAACATGTCAGTAGCCCCCCATCAGCTCCCCCCCCACACTCCCAGCATCTCCCCCCCACCAGCAGTCCTGCCGCTCAGCCCCTCCCCATCCCTCCCTGCACCTCCCAATCAGCTGTTTCATGGCATGCAGGAGGCTCTGGGGGCAAGAGGGGAGGAGCGAGGGCACTCCAAGCTCAGAAGACGGGGCAGGAAGGGGTGGAGTGAGGGCAAGGCCTGTGGCAGAGCCAGGGGTTGAGCAGTGAGCACCCCCTGGCACGCTGGAAAGTTGGCGCCTGTAGCTCCAGCCCCAGAGTTGGTGCCTATACAAGGAGCCACCTATTAACTTCTGAAGAGCCGCATGTGGCTCTCGAGCCACAGGTTCGTCACCCCTGGACTAGAAAGATTGGGGGCAGGTGACAGGAGATCCTGGGTTAAAATTTGCCCCTCTGTCTCCCTGGCAGAATCCCTGCCCCACCCCCTTGGCTCACAGCTGATCTTTTGGCAGGATACCCCCCCACACACACACCCACACCCAGCTCCTGTGGAGGGACAAGGACCTTGCTGCATTAATTGGCTCATGCATGATCCGAATGGGACGGGATGTTCCCTGTCCTGAGGCATGGGGGATTTAAGGGATGTGTGTTCGATGGGGCCGGAGGTGATGGGTGTTGGTGGGGAAGGGCTGGAACGGGCTGCTGGATTAAAGGACTTCCTGGCAAAATTGTTCTGGGTATTTATCTTATTGCCTTTGAAATAAAGTTAACGCTCTGAACAAGAGCTTGTCTGCCAGGGTTTGACTGTCACCAGCCACCACTGGCAGTAGGTCACAGGGCCCAGAAATGGCACACGCCGGCCTGGGCCAGCAATTTATTCCTCGTATTTAACACCGCTGAGATTTGCAGGGCTTGCTGGTGCCTTATGAATTAAAGGCTCCACCTATCATTGATTCCTAGCTCGCAGCTACAGCTGTGCATCAGTCCAGCTCACAGCACGTTGCAAAGCCGGTCAGCAGCCTTGTCTCTAGTTTACAGCTGGGGAAACTGAGGCACGGAGCAGGGAAATGACTCACCCATGGTCCCCCAGCAGGCCCAGGCATTGCACTAGGAATAGAATCAGGTGTCCAGTGCTCTAACCCCTGGGCCATGCTCCCTCCTGCCTGCATCACATTCCCCAGCCAGCAGGCTGCAGCTCGCTCCTTGAGGTCCTTGCGTTTCTTAAGGCCAGACTGCAGCGACTCAAACAACCCCCAGCAGCTTCGGAGCAGGACGAAAGGTTAAAATAAATGGGCCGGTGAAGCAAGTCCTGCACAGCTGCGGAACGGGAAGCCAGGCAGGGGTGCAAAGCACAAAGCTAACAAAAGGCACAGTGCTGAGGGGCCAGGCTGCTAAAACCCAGTTTGGATCTCAGCTTGGCCACCCAGGAGCCTTTACTTTATCTAGGGAAGAGAGAGAGATGCGACGGTGTCATGGATTTAGCTCCCAGCGTGGCCAGGGCAGCTCAGTACAGCCGTTGTCCAAAGCATCTGATTGTGGAAGGACCCCGACCCTCTGCATTGAAGGTATTTAGGCACGTACCACTTCTTGGTGTCCCCCCCATTCCCCCAGCATACAGCCATGCACCCACGCATACTCCTCCAGTGTATCCTGCCCCCCTTCCTATTGATTTCAAGAGCCAGGCCAAACCCTCTGAGCAGAGGGAGCAGCTGGGCTCACGCTTTGCTTGCAACCAGTGCCGGCAGCTAAACGGGCCGGCCGGCCAGCGAGGGCCCAGAACCGCACGCATGCAGCCAGCTCGGGGTGGGGCTGTAGCCTGGCGTGCCACAGGCAGCAACCGGATTGCGCTGCGTCTGGTGGCGCAGGTGCACTCGTGTGAACGGCCAAGGGGGATCCTATAGGAGCAAGGTCGGGGGGTGGGACTGCTCAGTGCAGCCTGGGACACACGTCCTGTTCTGATGGACACACTTCAGACGGGCTGCGGACACACTGGAAAGGGCTCAAAGAGCTACGAGAATGATTCCAGGGCTGGAAAATCTGCCTGAGAGCGAGCGAGACTAAAAGCAGCTCAGTCTAGGTGATAGAGGAGTGTAATTAACCACTGGACAAGGCTGATACAGAGGGAGACATTCTGGGCTAAATGCACCGGCACTAACCCATCCGTGAAAGCAGGTTGCCAGCTGCTCCGCGCCAACAGGGCTGAACCAGCCGGAGCACTCTGGGGAAATCGACGGCCCTCGCAATTCAAAGACAAATCAAATGAAAAGTGGGCCTTCTTCACAGCCCTGGCCCCTCCCCCATGCATCACGGCAAACAGAGTTTAAAAGCCCTAACCCCAACTTCCGAAATTTGCAACAGTCTCTAGATTTTACTCCTTCCTGTGCCCCCCCCCGGCATTTCTGGGAGGCAGGTGGCCAGACCCCCCCGGGTCTATTTCACTGCCTGACCAGTGAAGTTGTCCACCAGGTGCTTCTGAGGCCACTTGCCAAGCCCTTGGGAGGTCAGGTGAGCGAAGAGCTGGTCCTTGGCGCTCTGGTAAGACTCCGCCTGGGTCTAAAGAGGGAGAAAGAGAAACACTCTGAATTGGCCAGGGCACGGCGGGGTTAACGAACTAGAGCAATAAGGTTTAAGTCTGGCAGTGAGACGTGGGTCAGAATCAGCCCCATGTTACGGAGCCAGAGCTGGGGGCGGGGGGATGGGACACACAGAACGAGGACTGAGGCATAAACTGGGGAAGCGATCTGACTAAAGTCACATGCAGAGTTAGTGGCAGATGGGAACAGAACCCAGGAGTCCTGACCCCAAGTCCCCATCCCCCTCCTTCTCTTCTAACCACTAGACCTCTCCCCTCCCACAGCTGGGAGCAGAACCCAGGAGTCCTGACTCCTAGCACTCTTCCTGACATACTCACATACCCCACCCTCCTGTGTCTTCCCTTCTGCACTTGGCAGCCCCTCCCCCCTCGTATAACATGCCCCCTTCCCCACCCCTACCCCCCGCAGCGCCCAACCTTGGCTTGGTGGTACGTGGGCAGCGCCAGCAGGGCGTTCTTGTTCATCTGCTGCGCCACCTCCCTGAAGTATTGCAGCATGGCGGCTTTGCAGATCTGGCTGGGGAAGACCTGGTCCTCCACGGTGGGGTTTCTGGAGGGGCGGGGGAAGGAGACGCTCAGATGGAGGGGGCAAGGGCAGCTCCAGATGCTGATCAACAGCTGTGGGTGCTAGTGACCCGGCTTTCTGCACAGACTGGGGACAGACACACCTCTGTCCCAGTGCCCCACCCCCATCCGCAGCCACCCACGGAGGGGCCAGTTACCACCGGGGCCTGGGCAGTTCTCTGCCATTAGGAACGGAGACACTCCTTAGTGTCACACACGGGCCACCGGGCTGGGGCGCCTCTGGGCGAACACCCAGCTGCGGCCGCACCAGAGGGTGAACCAGGCTCCAGTGCCCATTTCCGCAGCCCCCCAGCTCCAGGGGGATACAGGTTTGGATTGGGGAGGGGGCTTAGATGGGGGGCACTGCAGGAGGCAGACACATCATCTGGGGGTAGCCCAAGCTCTGTGTTCATGGGGGATGTAACAGAGGAGCCTGGCTTTGGAGAGCAGCCCCCGGGGTACACCCCCCACCCCCGTCCATTGGGGATCACCCCCCAGCATCCCCACCCTGCTGGCACTAGAGGACCAGTCAGGGGACTCGGGGGACCCAGAGATTAATTCCCCCCCCCACACACACCGTGATCCCCGCCCCCCCACTCACTTCAGCACGGCCAGCCCAGTGGCACCGTCCACCTGCTCTGGGGCTGCGTCCCCGCGGCACCAGTTGAGGCTCAGCCTGCAGCACTCGGCGCTGGAGCTGAGGGGGCTGACGCGGGGTCCCAGGAAGAAGCAGACCTGGTGCTGGGCGTAGGGGGCTGGCAGGCCGGCCTCGGGGCCCAGCTGCAGCCGCTCGTTGATGACCCAGTTCAGGGCGGGCTGGTTGGGGCCAGGGTCCGCTGGGCAGCGGGAGGAGAGAGGCTGAGGCAGCTGCAAGGCCATTGCTGCGTGGCCCCTTCCAAGGCACTGAGCCCCTGCCCCGCTCCCTGCAGCACAGCGCCCCCCTACTGAGCCCCTATCCCGCTCCCTGCAGCACAGCGCCCCCCTAGTGTGCCCCCTATCCCCGCTCCCTGCAGCACAGCGC